GATATTTATGTATCTGGAGGTCCCTGCGGCCCTATGATGCAAAGCCTTCATCCCAGACGACGCCTTTTCTCCTGTGTGCCGGAAGAGGCCGAAACACGGCCAATATGAGCCCAAGTATTAGGCTACAGCGCAGGGATAGTTCCTGCTATTAGCGATCTGCGAGTTTAGTGCAAAAACGCATGTTCGCACCGGCAAGCCTGGTGTGGTCCAGCCTGGGTTTTAAATAAAATCCCGGTTAATACAGTGCTTTTTAAAATTGATTGTTTCAAACTTTCCTCTTCAAACTATAATTGACTGCAGTACCTGTTGCAGAAAATTTAACAACAGACATATGCATTTCTCCAAGCAGCTTTGATAATTTTATTACTCAAAGTTTTCAGGTAATCAGCAATTGCCTAAATCCGGACTGGGCGACCAAAATTCGTATTGCGTACTTTTTTGAAGAACAGCAGCGTTTACTCTTCGAAGTGTATGTTCAGTTTTGCAAACACTTATGTACTGTTAATTGCACCACTTTTGCTGATTACCTGCTTGGCCAAAATCCTTTTGCGGCTTATTCGCTGTAGGAGGCGAATGTACTTAAGAGATAGCCTCAATGGTAGCAGATACCAAAGGCAGTCTCCGTTAACAAGACTATACAGGTGGTTCTCTCTTTCATAGGTTGCTTAGAAGTCGGCTGATGACGGGCTTGATTCAGCGATATATGACAGTATCAGTTTACCATCGAAGCGATTGAACAAACTGTAGAGGGAGTGGCTGCTCCACTGACGTAATAAGGATTCAAGCTAATGCGCAACAGCGTTATTCTTACTGTGCCGCGCCGACCAGCAAATGCTTACTAATGTTAATAACAATGATAATAGAAATAATAACAATCTTAAAAATAGAAACCAGTAAGTACTCACCTGACTGGGGAACCAGAAGAGTAGTCAGCAGCGAAAGGTGGAGTGAGAAAGAAAGAGCGTGAAGAGTACGCGAAGTGTTTCGTGGTCTATGATTCCGTTTTCAAATACGGTTTGATTCTTACAGCTCCAGAACGAAGCAAGCCATGCATTCACAGTGCTGTCACTCTTCTAGTTCTATGTTTATTAAGAATCATACGTGTTGGCGCATTTGTTTGCTAGACTTTTGTGGCAACTTACCGCAAAAAATACGGGATTAAGTCAGTTTTTCAATGAGCGCAGCTGATCTTTGATCAATGCTTGTTAAAAAATGCAAGCATTTTTAAGTGTCTTTATCCCGAAAATACTGAAGCTGCTTCCTATCAAAAATACACTTTCAAATACAATACAAAATACAAAAATACTCAAAATACAGTACAAAATACAAAAATGCTCGAAATACAATACAAAATGCAAATGTACAAAAGTATAAATACAAATATAAATAAAAATAAATACAAATATAAATGCAAATATAAATACAAAAACACAAAAGATGCAAATATATGAAAAGAAATACAAAAATACTCCTTTATGCCGGTTCTGGCAGTAACACTGAAAAAATCCTCCTTTGACGCTTTATTAGCCTAAAACAGAGTTGGGGTGATGTTTTTATTCTTGTGTTCCTTAATAATCAGTTCTAGTCGCCAAAAAATGCAGCAAATTTATTGTTGCTTTCTGTTGATTAAGTTAGCTGATTGATGGTCCGAGAAAACGATGCTTGTATTTATTCCAGGTTTGATAAAGGCCCGGGAAAGGAAAAAACGCGAATTGGATCAGCAACTCTCCTCTTGCATGAAATTTTGGGAGCGAAATATAATCGTAAAACAACGAAACTATAGTAAGATGCTGTGTTTTTTAAAACTCAAAAGGTCAGGATAATTAGGCATGTGGAAACGTTAAAGTTGATGGAGGCACGAACCGATGTGATGCGTAAATACATTTAAAAGACGATTTCGTTGCTCCATATTGGCCTTCTACCTACAAAGTAGTTTTAAATCAGATCTAGAGCCGTTGACCTGCTCGACCTTGATGCTGCAATACCCACCTTTAAATCAAGGCCCGGGACACAATGGAGTTTGATAAAGCCTTTTACTCGACCCCTGAGAGTAGATGGCACATATCACTGCATATCCCAAGCCTGGTAAAATAGCTTGAGAATACAGTCGGTCGAGTATCCAAAATTTTTATTGCTCCAATTTGGCTGTTTAAAAAGTTGCTGAAAAGACTACTTTATTAACTTAAAATATCATCAACTTATAATTGTGTATGCTTTGGTTTGCTTGTTGCTTGGGACTCTTGCAGCAGCTAATCGTAGAAATGAGTAATGCACATGCCCCTTGGTATGAGTGCATGTTGCTCATTTACCTAACTGTAACTATTATTTGTCCTTCCAAAACTTTAAAGATGCTGAATTTTATCGGCAGTCGTGCGAAAAAATACATTTGTTTGCTTCGGAGAACTCTTCCAGTTTCCTTCAAGTACCGTATTTTTTTGCCCGAGAAGAATTGTATTTTTAATCCACTGTTTTAATGCCTTAAACTGCATAAGATTGAAGTATTAATTTTAGTGAAGATGGTAAAAATTATGGCACTATTATGGTGACTGCTGAAGAACTGAGTAAAGGAAGGCAGGAATCGGTGTATTTTGTTTGTAGTGCAACTAAGCTGGATCGAAAAGATTTCCTTGGCAAATGTGATCCGTTCTTGAAAATATCCCGGATCAACAAGGATAATACGTAAACTTTTTATTACTAAAACACTTTTCTACCATTGAAATTGATAAATTTATTAAAATGAAATTATCTTTGAAAACTGGCTCAGTTTCAGCAGCTCATTGCGTTTTTGTTATCTGATTAGTGAGCTGAAAAATTGCTTTTTGATGTAATGTTTTAATTAAAACTACTTTCCTACTTTATTACGGATGAAGGGGCAGTCAAAATCAGTTCAAGTGACTGCACAATGTCAACGGTAATTGCCGTCTCTATAGGCTGTCCGTAAATCAATTGCAGTGAATTTCTAAGGATGACAGCTTGTCTACAGGGTTTTTTACAGATGATTCTCCCCAGATTATTTCCAAAAGTTTCACATGCCTGTACGCGAGACATAGGCTTGTGTGGAAGCGAAACATAGGAAGCAAATATCTCTCCGAAATTTCAGCTTCCTAGCTTTTCTGGCGTCAAAGTTAGCGACTTCGCGCCAAAACTCTCGTATGGAGACATAGGCTTGTGGGGCGTATGTGAAGGCTGAATTTAAATCTATGAAGCAGCACGAGAGTAGAAAATATTCTGCTAAAGTCCTAGTTTTCTAACTTTTATGACTCCCTAGTTGAAAAGCAGGGGAAAACGCACTTAGACACACACATACGCACACAAAGATACATACGCAGACAAACGCTAAAAAACAAACACAGGCAAGGTCATGACAATATGTTTTCGTGCAATACTGTTAGGCACAAAACGCATTAAAAATGAAATCCACGGGGACGTAACAGATACGATAGCCGAAAACCAAAATCAGCTTACTCACACAAAAGGGCCATGTGTGATTTAAAACATGTCTAGCTGTTTCTCTGAATACAATTAAAGGTTCGCTGGACTTTCCTGAAGTTTCAACTATGAATAGCATATTTCAGGTACCAGCTAGCGTATCGGACACGTTATCACGAGCAAAATTTGAATCCGAAGTGGAAACCTTTTGAAATACACATAGACCAGCTATGTTATGGTGATAAGGATCGGTGAGGTTTTCAGATGTCTTGATCATTCGGAGTAAGACATTTCAGTAGCACTGAATAAACTTGAAAGGGTATTACATTCTTCCTCCTTGCACATCTTAATTACGGGTATAAGAATTTTCCAGAATGACTGAAAAATTAAGCGGTCCTGTGTAGGTTACGGACAGCGGCACAAGACATTTTTATGAAGAGTTGTTCATCAGTAACAGACCACCAAAATTAACAAATAATAAAATCAAAAAAACTCAAATATGCGTATGAGAGTTGGGAAAAAACTAGACAAGAAACGAAACGTGGTGAAAGCTGTGCAATAATTCAGACCAAACAGTATAACAGTATAAGGTGATTTTTAGTGTTCGTGAAAAATGATAAAATATGCATTCAGATCAAACAGCATAACGAAATTAACTGAACAGTGACAGAATTGGGGGACGTATTTTTATGCATTTTTTGTAGCTATGCAGTGCAGAAAACGCCTATTGACGAAGGGTTGCCTGTGTGTGTGTGTCTGTTGTTCGTCCGTACCGATTTTTCATCTCGAGACTTACAAACGCTACGGGACTAAAATTTCGGGAATTTAATCTACATGCATGTGCGGACTCCCATCCTCAACTAATCTTTGACCCTAGTGTCATAAACTTTTGGGAGGCTACGGTAGAAACTTTTGGTCTCAAAATAGCGAGTTTTAACGTCGAATATACCAACACCTGCATCTCAAAAAATAAAATTTGATTTGCACAAAAGCAATATTTGAACTTCGCTGAAGCCTTTGTACAAACAAATTATTTTTTGGCAAGCTTATGTCTTTATGTCTACGTATATATGTGTGTGAGTTTATATATATATATATATATATATATATATATATATATATGTAAA